GTTTAGATATACAAATACTATGTAGATACACAAAAACCATACACAATTACCATTGTGTTATAATTGCCTACAGTATTCACTACAGTAACATCCTGTACAGGTTTGTAGCCTAGGATCAATAGATTACACCATATAGCTTAGATGTAGAGCAGGCTGTACCATCCGGGTTTGTGTAAGGGCACTCCATGATGTTCTCAGAATGGCAAAATCAGGTAACAATGCATTTCTCAGAATGTACCCCTGTCATTAAACAGCACATGTCTGCATTCAGAAGTGGCAGAAACCTCACATTCACTCTTTGACCTGTGGAGTGAGGCTATTATGGTGGGAAAAGTGAAATGGAAGACACTAGCATTGCCTTCAGCTAGAAAAATAGCAAACCAATGGCAATACCACATTCCTGGAGCAATTACAGAGATTATTGTCATCTTCAAAGATTTTAAGAATTTTAAGGATGAGAATCACCATCTCCCCATTCAACCCACCTATTTGGCCAGTGCAGAAGAAAGATGGATCTTAGAGAATGATGGTAGATTATCATAACCAGATGGTGAATCTAATTATATCTGCTATACCAGATGTGGTTTCACTGAGCAAATGAACACTCTCCTGGTACCTGGTATGAAGCTGTTAATATGGCAAATGCATTTTTTTCTTAATAACTGGTAGTAAAGACCACCAGAAGCCTTTTTCTTTTACCTGGTGGGACCAGCAATATATCTTTACTCTCACATATTAGAGTATCTCAATTCTCCATCTGGATGTCATAGTTTAGGTCACAGAGATCTTGATCACCTTCCTTTTCACAGACTATCACACTGCTCCATTGTATTCATGTCATTATGCTGATTGGATTTAGTAAGCAAGAAATAGCAACTACTCTAGATTTAATTGGTAATCATTTGCATGCCCAAGGGTGGGAAATAAATCTGACTAATAAGATTTCAGAGGTTTCTATCTCATTGGAAATTTCTAGGGGGTCTGGTGGTGTGGAGCATGTCAAGATAGCTTTTCCAAGGTGAAAGATAAGTTGTTGTATCTGGTTCCTCTTACAATAAGATACAAAGTTTAGTGGACCATCCTGTTTGGCTTTTGGAGGCAACATATTTCTCATATGTGTGCTATTTTGGCCCACTTACCAAGTCATCTGAAAAGCTGCTTGTTTTAATGGGGTCCAAATGACAAGGGAAAGCTCTGCAACAGGTCGAGGCTGCTGTTCAGGCTGTTCTGCTGATTGAATCATGTGCATCAGCAGATCAAAGGGTGCTTAAAATGTTAGTGGCAGATAGGGATGCTCTTTAGCACCTTTGGCAGGCTTCTGTAGGTGGATTGTAACATAGACCATTGATATTTTGGAGCAAGGCCCTGACATCTTCCACCGATAACTACTCTCCTCTTGAGAAACAGCTTTTGGTCTGCTACTGGGCCTCAGTAGAGACTGAATCCTTAACCATGGGTCATTAAATTATCATGCAGCCAGAACTGCCTATCATGAACTGGGTGTTTTCTGACCTTCCAAGCCATAAAGTTGGATGTGCACAGCAGCACTCCATGATCAAATGGAAGCAGTAGAAAAGTGGTCAGGCATGAGCAAACCTGGAAGGCACAGTAAGTTATGTGAAGAATTGGCTCAAATGCCCATAGTTCTCACTCACACTCCTGCTACACTGCCTTCTGCTTTCTCTCTCCCATTCCACTCCTATGGTTTCATAGGGAGTTCCTACAATCAGTTGACAGAGGAAGAGAAGACTTGGGCCTGGTTTATAGATGATACTGCATAATATGCAGGTACCACTTAAAAGTGGACAGCTATAGCATTATATCCCATTTCTGGGACATCCATGAACAATGGTGAGGGGAAATCCTTTCAGTGGGCAGAACTTTGGGCAGTACACTTGGTTGTGCATTTTTCTTGGAAGGAGAAATGGCTAGATGAGTAATTTGGCTGGATGATTAGAAACTTGGAAGAAACACAATTGAAAAATCGGTGACAAGGAAATTTGGGAAAGAGGTATATAGATAGAGCTATCTGAATGGGCAAAAAAACTGTGAAGATTTATGTGTCTTATGTGAATGCTTATTAAAAGGTGACTCCACCAGAAGGGAATTTTAATGTCAAGTATTTTTCTGCAGTCACGCCATCATTGCCCAGTGGAGTCGAGAACAAAATAGCCATGGTGGCAAGGATGGAGGTTATTCATGGGCACAGCAACAGGGACTTTCATTTACCAAGGCCAATCTGGCTAACATCACCACTGAATCCCAAATCTACCAGCAGCAGAGATCAACCCTGAATCTCTAATATGGCACCATTCCCAGGAGTATTCAGCCAGCTACCTGGTAGCAGGCTGATTGCACTGAATGCTTCTTTCATGGAATGAGCAACATTTTTTACTTATTGAAAAAGACATGTACTTTGGATACAGATTTGCCTTCCCTTCATCCAGCACTTCTGCCAAAATACCATCCACGGACTTACAGAATGCTTTCTCCACCAACATGGTATTCCATGCAGCATTGCTTCTAGTTATAGAGCCCACTTTACAGGCAAAGAAGTGCAGCAGTGAGCCCATGCTTGTGGAACTCACTGGTCTTATATTCTCCATTATCCTGAAGGAAATAGCTTGATAGAATGATGGAACGGCTTTTTGAAAACTCTGTTCCAGTACCAGGTAAATGGCAATACCTTAAAGAGCTGGGGCAAGGTTCTTCAGAAGGCTGTATGTGCTCAGAGTCAGTGTCCATTATATGGTGCTCTTTCTCTATAGCCAGGATTCATGTGTCCAGGAATCAAGTGTTGAAAGTGTGAGCGTCACCACTCACTATTACCCCTAGTTGACCACTAGCAATATTTTTGCTTCCTGTTCCCGTGACTTTTTGCTCTGCTGATGTAGAGGTTTTACAGAAAAATGAACGCTTCCACCAGGAGACACAACAATGAAGAAATTATTTAGGCAGATAGTGAGGGCAAAAGAGTCCTCGGCAGAACTTCCCTTCTAATGAAAAGCAGCCCAATAAATCTTTTTTTTTTTTTTTTAAAAGAAAAGCAGCCTGAAAGATTGAGCTGCAAACATAGATATGGAAGCTGGAAGTTTGCATGGGGAGGATGCCTGCAGCTACACTGATAGAAAAGGACTACTGGGGGGCCAGGCATGTCCCCTGTGGGGCTCCACCTTCCCTTTTTTGTTAGCAGGTGTACGGTAAGAAAGAAATGGGCAACATGGAGGAGCTGAGGTACAGAACCCAAAAGATTGGGGTGGGGGCTGCCAGAGATTCATGCCCTATGAAGATGGAATGCCTGATCCTGTTTTTTTGTGCCCTATAGAGATCAGATACTGCCTATCCCCTGGCTTGTCTATAAAACCCCTGCCTTTCACCATGGATGAGCAACCCATTTTTCTGGGACCCCTCTTTGTAGCAGAAAGCTGTTCTCTTTCTTTGGGTCATTAAATTTCCACTCTCAACCTCACTCTTTGTGTGTCTGCATCTTTGACCTTTGTGGCCATGAGACAGTAAACCTTGGGTGTCACCCTAGACAATGAGGCCACTTCAATTCCACTGAAGTGCCACTTGGCCAGTTTGGGCTCCTCATGCCTCTGAATTAGCAGACAAATAAAGGAGGGGTTATCAATCTTAACTACCATGGAGGAAATTGGACAACTATTCCACCGTGGAATAATACTTTACCTGGCAAAGTTGTCTTTCAGAAAAAGAGAAAGCCTTTTCCCGGCAAACAAAAACTGAGAGAGTTTATTACCACTAGCCTGTCTTACTAGAAATGCTAAAGGAAATTATTCAATCTGGAAGAAAAGAGTGCTGATTAGTAACACAAAAATATGAAAGTAGAAGACTCACTGGTAAAAGTAAGTACCATAGGAAAATTCAGAATAATACTGTAATGGTGCTGCATAAATCATATATATTTATAGGGTTAAAACACAAAACTATTCAAAATAATCATAGCTAAAAGAATTTACTAAGAAATACCCAATAGAAAAAGATATAAATTATAAAAATCATGAAATGTGTGGCAGAGTAAAAGCATAGAATTGTTGTATGTTATTGAAGTTAAATTGTGATCAGCTTAAAATAGCCTGATATAACTTATGACTATAAGATGTTTCATGCCAGCCTCATGGTAACCACTAAACAAAAACCTCTAGTTACCAAACCAAAGATAAAAAATAAAAAGAATCAAGGCATACCACCACAGGAAAATCATCTAATCACAAAGGAAGGACAGCAAAAGAGGAAGGAAAGAACAAAGGATCAACAAAAGCAGCAGAAAAAAACAAAATGCTGGTAGTAAGTTCTCACCTTAATTACCTTAAAATAGATTTAATTCTTCAATCAAAAGACAGAGAGTGACTGAATAATACTAAAAAAGAGCCAACTGTATGTTGCCTACCAGAAATTCACTTCACTTTTAAGGACACACACAGATTAAAAGTGAAAAGCCAGAAAAAGATATTCCATGTAAATGGACATGGAATAGCTATACTTATTTACTTAAAATAGTCTTTAAGTCAAAACTAAAAAAGAGACAGAAAAGGTCTACAATGATAAAATGGTCAATTCATCAAGAGGATATAACAACTGCAAACATACATACACCCAATATTGGAGCACCTAAATATATAAAGCAAATATTAATAGAGTTGGAGAAAAAGAGACCGTAATACAAAAACAGTAGAGCTCTTTAATACCCCACTTTCAACACTGGATGAATCATTCAGACAGAAAATCAATCAGGAAACATCAGACCTGAACTATACCTTACACCAAATAGATTTAACAGACATATAGAATATTATATCCAATAGCAGCAGAATACATAGTCTTCTCAAGTGTGCGCAAAGTGTTCTTTAGAGTAGATCATATGTTAGGCCAAAAACCAAGTTTTAGCAAATTTAAGAAGATTAAAATCATATCAAGTATCTTTCACAACAACAGTTGCATAAAATTAGAAGTAAGCAGTAATTTAGGGCCATGGCTCATACCTGCAATGCCAGCATTTTGGGAGGCCGAGGAAGGCAGATCACTTGAGGTCAGGATTTCAATACCAGCCTGGCCAACATGTTGCAACCTTGTCTCTACTAAAAATAAAAAAAAAAAATGAGATGGGCATGGTGGCAGAGTACCTATAATCCCAGCTACTTGGGAGACTGAGGCAGGAGAATCACTTCAACCTGAGAGATAGAGGTTGCAGTCAACTGAGATTGTGCCACTGCACTCCAACCTGGGTGACAGAGAAAGACTGTCTCAAAAAAATAAATGTAATTTAGGAATATCACAAATATTCAGAAAATAAACAACACTTCTGAACAACCAATGGGTCAAAGAAGAAATTAAAAATTAATCTTAAGACAAATGAAAATGAAAACACAACACGCCAAGCTGATGGGATATGGCAAAAGTAGTTCAGAGAAGAGAGTTTATAGTGATACATACATAGAAAAAGAAGAAATACCTCAAATAACCTAATGTTACACCTTAAGAAATTAAAAAAAGAACAAACTAAGCCCAAAGTTAATAGAAATAAAGAAATAGTAAAGATCAGAGTAGAAATAAGTAAGAGACTAGAAAAACAGTACAGAAGATCAACAAAACTAAGAGTTTGTTTTCCAAAAATATAAACAAAATTAACAAACCTTTAGCTAGACTAGCAAAAATAAATCAATGCAAATAAATCGGAAATGAAAGAGGAGACATTACAACCAATAGCATGGAAATGCAAAGGATCATAATATACTACCTCAAACAATCATACATTTACAAATTGGAGAACATCAAAGAAACTAATAAATTCTAGACCTATAAACCTACCAAGCCTGATTTATGAAGAAAGAAAATCTGAACATACATACAGTGAATGAAGAGATTAAAATAGTAAAAAGTATCCCATTAAAGAAATGCCCTGGACCTGATAGCTTCATTGCTGAATTCTACCAAACATTTAAATAAGAACTAGTATCAGCCATTCTCAAACTTTTCCAAAAAATTGAAGAAGTGGGAACACTTCCAAACTCATTTTATAAAGCCAGCATTAGCCTGATACCAAAGCTCTAGACCAGGACACTACGAGAAAATAAAATTAAAAACAAAGATACAGAATTCTCAACAAGATACTAGCAAAGTGAATTTAAAAGCACAGTTAAAAGGATCATTCACCATCTAGTAGGATTTATCCCTGGGAGGATAGGATAATTCAGCATATGCAAATTGATAAATGTGATACACCACATTAACAAAATGAAGGACAAAAATAATATAATTATCTCAACAGATGCAGAAAAAGTATCTGGCAAAATCCAACACCCTTATATGATAAATCTTTCAATAAATTAGGTATAGAAAAAATTGCACCTCATATTGAATGTCATATGACAAGACCACAGCTAACATCGTTTTTAATGGTGAAAAGCTGAAAGTGTTTCTTGTAAGATCAGGAACAAAACAACGATGCCCACTCTTGCCACTTCCATTCAATAGTCTTGGAAATCCTAGACAGAGCAATAATACAATTATACAAGAGAAAGAAATAGAAAGTACCCAAGAATAAATATTCTTATAGTGTTCATACTATCAAAAGCAATAGGCAGATTCAATGCAATTCCTATCAAAATTACAATTACATTTTTCAAAGAGATGGAAAAAAATCCTAAAATTTGTAAGGAACCACAAAAGACCCCAAAGAGTGAAAACAATCTTGATCAAGAGGAACAACTGTGGAGGCATCACACTCCCTATTTCAAAAAATGCTACAATGCTATAGTAATCAAGAAAGCATGATACTGGCATAAAAACTAACTTATAGACCAATGAAGCAGAACAGAGATCCTGCAATTAAATTGATCATTTATGCTCAATAGATTTTTATCAACGATGCCAAGAATACACAATGGGGAAAGAATAGCTCTTAAATAAATTATATTGAGAAAACCAGATATCCATAGGCAGAAGAATTAAATTGGACCCATGTCTCATACCATATACAAAAATCAACTCAAAGATGATTAAAGACATAAATTTCTGACCTGAAACTGTAAAACTCCTAGAAGCAAATGGGGGAAAGCACCTTCAATTTGGTGTGAGCAATGATTTTTTAGTTGACACCAAAAACACAGGCAACAAAAGCACAATTAGACAAGGGCAATTCATTAAACTGAAAAGCTTCTGCCTAAACAAGAAACAATCAACAGAGAGAAGAAAGATGTAACTTATGGCTTGGATGAAAATATTTGTAAACCATGTATCTGATGAAAAGCTAATAACCAAGGGAAAATGAAGGATAGGAGGCAGGACTGACTTGCAGCTCCCACTTGGACAAACAGAGCAGCATGTGGAGACCCACTTTGTGACTTTTGCTCCAAGAACTACTACAGAAACATACCAGAAAAGCTGAGAGAATCTACAGATCCTTTGAGGGAGGTGGAATAGCCAAGTAACTGAATATGCTTGCTTTCTCAGTTGGGAGGCTTGTAGCCTGGGGCAAGTTCTCAGCCCTGCTCACCTACTACCTGGAAGTAAACTTGGTGCTCTTGGCAGGCTGGCGAGGCAGGGGAGGGTACATTGAGACAGACCAGCCTTTTGGGCTGTGGGCTGCATGGGAGCTGGGTGAGGCCTGTGGCTGCCAGTTTTCCCCAACTTCCCTGGTGACCTGTGTGACACAACAGAGGCAGCCATAATCCTTCCGGAAACATAACTCCGTTGGTCTGGAAACCAAACTCTTATCTCCCCAGTAGCTACAGCAAGCCCCACCCAGGGAGAGTCAGCTCAGAAACACCTAACCCTGCCCCACCTGATGGTCTTTCCCTACCTGCCCTGGTAGCCAAAGACAAAGGACAGAATCCCTTGGGAGTGCTATGGCCCCACCCACCACCTGACCCTCCCTATAGTATCAGCCCTCCCTATAGGAGATGATGTGCTCCTGAAAGCACTATCTCCTGGCTGGAGGCCACCAATACGAAATCAGCTTACTTAACAAAAACACAATCAAGGACCCTCACAGAGTCCACTTCACTCCTCTGCTACCTCCATTGGAGCAGGTGCTGGTAACTACAGTTGAGGGACCTGAACAGATTCCATCACAGGACTCTTTGCAGACACTCCCCAGTACTGGCCTGGAGTCCTGTAGCTGCACTGTGTGGCTAGATCCAGAAGAGAAACAGCAATCACTGCAGTTAAGCTCTCAGGAAGCCACATTCCTAGGAAAAAGGGGAGACCATCACAACAAGGGAACACCTTGTAGAACAAAAGTATCTGATCAGCAGCCTTTGAGTCCCAGATCTTCCCTCTAATGTAGTCTGCATAAAGAGAAGAAACCAGAAAAACAATTCTGGAATATGACAAAGCAAGTTTCTTTAACACCCCAAAAGATCACACTAGCTCATCAGCAATGGATCCAAACCAAGAAAAATGTCTCTGAATTGCCAGGAAAATAAATCAGAAGGTTGATTATTAAGCTAATCCAGGAGACCCCAGAGAAAGGTGAAGTCCAATTTAAAGAAATTGGAAACAGATAGCATAATATAAACAATTACAACTTGTAGAAATGAAGAACATACCTAGAGAATTGCAAAATTCACTGGAAGTCTCAGCAATAGAATTGAACAAGTAGAAGAAAGAACTTCAGAGCTTGAAGACAAGCTTTTTGAATTAACCCAATCCAACAAAGACAAAGAAAAAAGAATTTTTTAAAAAATGAACAAAGCCTCCAAGACGTTTGGGACTATGTTAGATAACCAAACCTGAGAATAATTGATGTTCCCAACGAAGAAGACAAATCCGTAAGTTTGGAATACATATCTGTGGGAATAATCAAGGAAAATTTCCTTGGCCTTGCTAAAGAGCTAGACATCCAAATACAAGAAGCTCAAAGAACACCTGGGAAACTCATCACTAAAAGATAATTGCCTGGTCATATAGTCATCAGGTTATGTAAAATCAAGATGAAGGAAAGAATCTTAAGAGCTGTGAGGCAAAAGCATTAAGTAAGCTAGAAAGGAAAACCTATCAGATTAACAGCAGATTTCTCAGCAGAAATCATACAAGCTAGAAGGGATTGGGGTCCTATCTTTAACCTCTTTAAACAAAACAATTATCAGTCAGGAATTTTGTATCCAGTGAAATTAAGCTTCATAAATGAAGGAAAGATATCATCTTTTTCATTTAAACAAATGCGGAGAGAATTTGTCACTACCAAGCCAGCACTACAAGAACTGCTAAAAGGAGCTCTGAATTTTAAAATAAATCATTGAAATACACCAAAATAGAACTTCCTTAAAGCATAAGTCTCCCAGGACCTATAAAATAATACCACAAGGAAAACACACACACACACACACACACACACACACACACACACACACACACACGGTATCAGGCAACCAAAATAGCACAATGAATAGTATAGTACATCACTTCTCAATATTAATGTTGAATGTAAATGGCCTAAATGCTCCACTTAAGAGACACAGAACGGCAGAATAGATATGAATTCACCAACAGAGTATCTGCTGTCTTCAAGAGATTCACCTGACACATAAGGACTCACATAAATTTAAGGTAAAGCATGGAAAAAGATATTCCATGCAAATGGACATCAAAAGTGAGCAAGAGTAACTATTCTTATATAAGACAAAACAAACTTTAAAGCAACAGCCGCTGAAGGTCTCCCTTGCAGGCCCCTGTGTCACATCGGCCTCCAGGCTGTGAACACTGAATGGGGTTTGGGTGCACAGGGCATGCAGGGTGTTGTAACACCTGTAAAACCAGAGGGGAGTGGGACTGGCAGGAGAGTCTCAGACCCAGGCCCTGAGCAAAGGCTGGTGGCCAGGAGTGTGAGGCCTCACACCCGACTTGCTTGGGACTGCCTGGGGCACTTGAAGAGGGCGACCTCAGCCTGCACCCCAACAGCTTCCACTTGGTCTCTCTCTGTCTCTGCTCTTCCCTCACTGGGACCTTGGAGCCCCTCAGACTCTGACAGTCACTGAGAGGATGCCAAGCGCAGACAGTAGCTCACAGCTCTCACCTGCCCAGGCCTTGCACGGGGCTTTGCAGATCCGTGGTTTCCATCACACAGCTGCCTCACAAAGCGGCTGATGAGGCCAGGCTCCTCTCCAGGGCTCTGCATGGGAGTCGCTCTCTACTCTCTGCTGACACCTGGGATGGGGGAATGGATGTGTTACAGGAAGCAAGTACAGATCCAGACCCCAAGAGACAGTTCTTGGATGTTGCCTAAGAAAAAATTCAGGGCGAGTCCATAAAGTGAAAGCAAGTTTATTAGGAAAATAAAAGCATTAAGAATGGCTACTCCACAGACAAAGAAGCCCCAGGACTGCTGGTCACCCTTTTTTTTTTCTTTCTTTAGATGGAGTTTTACTGTGCCTTCCAGGTTGGACTACAGTGGTGCCATCTGGGCTCACTAAAACCTCCACCTCCTGGGTTCAAGCAATTCTCCTGCTTCGGGTTCCTGAGTAGCTGGGACTACAGGTACACGCCACCATACCTGGCGAATTTTTTGTATTTTTGGTAGATACAAAGTTTCACCATATTGGCCAGGCTGGTCTCGAATTCCTGACCTAAGGTGATCCGCCTGCCTCAGCCTCCCAAAGTGTTAGGATTATAGGCATGAGCCACTGCACCCTGCTCCTTGCCCATTCTTACGGTTATTTCTTGATGATTTTTTAGACCATATAGGGTGATTTCCTGATGTTGCCATGCCATTTGTAAATTGTCATGGCACTGGTGGGAGTGTAGCAGTGAGGGTGGCCAGAGGTCACTCTTGTGGCCATCTTGGTTTTGGTGGGTGTTAGTTGGCTTCTGTACTGCAATTTGTTTTATCAGCAAGGTCTTTATGACCTCTTATCTTGTGCTGACCTCCTATCTCATCTTGTGACTCAGAACGCCTTAACTCTCTGGGAATGCAGCCCAGTAGGTCTCAGCCTTTTACGCAGCCCCTATTCAAGATGGAGTTTCTCTGGTTCAAATGCCTCTCTCAAATGGTGACAATCTCATCTGACTTAGCGCCTCCAAACTGAACTCAGTTTCTCAAGATTCATTTCCAGGGGTGAGGTCTTAGTGCACCCAGGGTTTCTCATTTCTTTGCTGTGAAAGATCTCGTTTATAATTTTTCCCTCTGTAGAAGTCTGTGTTTAAAACAAAAAGTGTCTCCCAGAAAAAAAAAGAAAAGACAAAGAGAGACATTATTAATGATAAAGGACTAGTCCAACAGGAAAATATTCTAAATATATACATAGCTAGCACAGTCTTAAATATGTATGTACTTAACACCGAAGCTTCCAAATTTATAAAACAATAGACCTAAGAAATGAGATAGACATCAACATAATAATAGTGGGGGACTTCAGTATTCCACTGACAGCACTGGACAGGTCATCAAGACAGAAAATCAACTAAGAACAAATGAACTTAACATGCTACCCAACACTCACAGAATATACATTCTATTCATCAGCACATGGAATATTCTCCAATATAGACTATATGGAAGGCCACTAAATAAATCTCAACAAATTTAGAAACATTGAAATTATAGCAAATACTCTTTCAGATCACAGTGGAGTACAATTGGAAATCATTTCCAAAAGGAATTCTCAAAACCATGCAAATACATGGAAATTAAATAACCTGCTCCTGAGTGATCATCAGGTCAAAATAAAATCAAGATGGAAATTAAAAAATACTTTGAATTGAATAACAGTGACACTACTATCAAAACTTCTGGGAAATAGCAAAGGTGGTGCTAAGAGGAAAGTTCATAGCTTAAATGCCTACATCCAAAAGTCTGAAAGAGCACAAACAGATAATCTGAGGTTACACTTCAAGGAACTAGAGAGACAAGAACAAACCAAACCCAAACCCAGCTGAAGAAAGTAATCAAGATCAGAGCAGAATGAAATGAAATAAAAAATACAAAAGATAAATGAAACAAAAAGCTGATTCTTTGAAAAAATAAAATTGATAGGCCGTTAGTGAGATAAACCAAGAAAAGAAAAAAGCCAAATAAACTCAATTAGAAATGAAATGGGAGATATTACAACGAATACCACAGTAATACAGAAGATCATTCATGGCTACTATGAACACATTTATGTGGACAAACTAGAAAACCTAGAAGGGATGGATAAATTTCTGGAAATATACAACCCTTCTAGATTAAATCAGGAAGAAAAGGAAACCCTGAACAGACCAATAACAAGCAGCAATACTGAAATGGTAATTCAAAAGTTACCAATAAAATAAGTCCAGGACCAGAAGGATTCACAGCTGAATTCTATCAGACATTCAAAGACTTGGTACCAATCCTATTGACACTATTCCACAAGATAAAGAGGGAATCCTTCCTAAATCATTCTATGAAGCCAGTATCATCCTAATACCAAAACCAGGAAAGTACATAACCAAAAAAGAAAACTACAGACCAATATCCCTGATGAATATAGATGCAAAAATCCTCAACAAAATACTAATGAACTGAATCCAACAGCATATCAAAAAGATAATTCACCATGATCAAGTGGATTTCATACCAGGGATGCTGGGATGGTTTAGCATAAACAAGTCAATAAAT